GAATAAAATCGGAATTTTTGCTGTTATCGTGATAAAAATTTACGATTTGATATCGGAATTTTTCCGGGTCTCTGTCCTAGCGTCGCCCGGATTTGACGTGTTACACGTGATTTCAGATATTAAATTTACGGTAATTTACCATACTGTATATTGATTTTTAGAATTTAACACCGGATAATTAAAAAGAACTGAACCATTTTTTTTTATAGTAACTTCACGGGTAAGCAATGCATTTTGTCACGGCAAAATCCACGAATCAAATAAATGCATTGCTCGTAGTAACTGTTAAGTTATTGGCGATTGTGGCGTAATTATCCGGTTCAGATAATTAAACTTTGGCAGTCGCAAATTATTCCACGACCAAAGTATAATTATCATTTTTAAAAAGTCATTAAGAAAAGGTGGTTCTCATATATAAGAGTATCCCTAATTTTTTCATTGCCGATTCTTTTTTTGACTTCTCGACAATAGTTTTTTTTCCTCTCGTGACATTCCTTGATATTTGAAACTCCAATCGTAACTAGATATTCCATTCTATCTTCTACTAGAGCTGTTAAGAGATATATTCAAGTTTGCCAACCCTTTGATAATTTCCTTCTTTCAAAATCGTTTACTGGGTTATAGGATGAAGGTACCAACAAATTCATCCAATAAATTTACCCGACAGATTTATAAAACAAACAAGCTAACTTTACATGATTGTGACTTACATAGCGTCGCCCGGATAAATTATATCGTAATTGGCAAAAGTCGAAATTTTTATTGATTCATTATATGTTATCGTAAAAGATAGAACTTTAATAAATGAATTTTTTTTTTTGATTGGTAATTCTGTGACGCATGTTCGATTTCGTATAAATAACATAAAATAATAAAATAATATATATAAGAATGTTTGTTCATAATCTGCCGCTATTTTTTCTTTTCTGAATTTACAAATTTCTAACAAGTTAATCCAATGAACTCGCGAAAAAATCAGTAATATTATTTGAGTTTGACTCTCAATAAATATCTAGTTCCTCATAGTAGATGATTCATAAGAACAATGATAAAATCATTTTAATACAAAAAATCTCACTCGCAGTACCAAACGAACACTATCTCTTAAATTAGATATAATTCTTCTTACTACGCCGCGCCTTTCAAATTTTGATTTCCAAAGCCGTTACTTTCGGAACTTTTAACTTTGAAGAAATGTTTATGTCGTCACAAATAGATATTTTATCATTTTATCGAAGAGTTAAATATATTTTGTTCTTTATTTAGAATTTATAAAATATGAGTTTCAAAATCATAATCTCAATAAAAATAATTTATATACAACTAAAAAGAACATTCTGCTGGCGAAACAATGATTACACCAGTTGAGAACGCTAACCAGAAATAAAAAATAATTACGCGAGAAAAATAAGAATTAGGAACATAGACATAATAACCGATGTCAAAATTGCGGCTCTTTCCGATGCTAGCTTACATCCGGTGGCTTGATAATTCGAATCACTACTGGCCTCTTTTTTTGCCAACCATTTTTTTTGTTTGAAATCAAAAATATTGGTAATCCTCGTTCCTTTGGAATCATCACCAATTGAACCTACAAAATTTTATTAATTTATAAATCTCTCGGAAGAAAATTAAAAATCGCCTTTAATCTAAACACATACCAAAGGCGATAACCATGAAATTGCCATAGACGGTTGCAACGTGGTATGATTGAATCTCGGTTGGGGAGGTTTCATAATCAAGGAAAGTATATTCCCATGTATTCGTATCTAAGGTCATGAATGCCACTTCTTTGCCGACAGGTCCTTCGCTATAACCTCCATAAATGTAAATCAAGTCATCAGGACCTGAAAGAAAAAAAATAAGAAATTGCATTCAGAGAACTTGATCAAAATATTTCTTGCATTGAGCGAAAAATGATTAAGATTACCTAAAACTGCCGAATGTCCAGCTCTGCGAATAGGATCTCTACCTTCGACGCTGCTTTTAATCCTCTGTCATAATTATAAACGAATCTTGACATTTAGAATATGTATTTTTTATGTGGACATGTGGAAAAATATATTCTGATCCTTTACCATTTGAGTCCAAATTGAATTCGTGGTATCATATATCAATACCTGTTATTGTTCAAATCGAGTATAAGTAGATAAATTGAATGTAAGGAACAAATTGAAATATTAAATACTCTTACCATGAAAGGGCTAACAAATTCAGAATTACCACGTATCTTCCCACCGACGTATACAATTTTACCATCATGTAATAAAGTGGCGCTTGCATCTTTTACGACTTCAGTATAAACTTTTTCAGGTTCTAAAGTATAGGAAACCGCTTCAGTATCCAAACGTAACACAAGCATTAGAATATTAAGATCTGACTTGGTTTTCTACCTTTGACCGTCAGTTTCATGAACGACACTAATCCAGGGTCACTTAAGTCGAATTTGTAAAGAACTTTTGGTTGTGTCTTTTAAACATTTTTTATTGGTAAAACAAAAAAAAAAATTGGACAATTAGAAATGCAAACAATTCAACTTCTAGGTGAGTATAAGTAAATATGACGCATACATTTGCCATAATTTCCCCATCAAGCACCAATTGTTCATCGTTACCATCTGCTCTTTTAATCATTGGACCCATTGTAGAATTTTTGTAGTTAAACTTCAGTTCTAGACCGCTATTGAGTTCCCAATAAAAATATTTCATTGAAAAGTCGTCATCGCTTACACTACCACCAATAAAATTGATTTTATCATTAACAAGACCATTACGACCTGTTGGTATAAAGCTTTGCTTAGAAGCAGTGGGAGCATTGGGACTTATTAAACAATAAGCGAGAGTTGAGAGCAAAGAAATGACAAGAATAAAAACGTGCATTGGACGAACAGAATTCATTGACAAATTTTTTTATAATCAAAAAAAAAGTCAAAAGTAAGTTTTATGGGGAAGCTGTGATGTTGCTTTTGTTGGTTAATTTTATTTTTTATTTTTTATTTATTTATTTATTTATTTATTTTTTACGCTGCATTCAAATGATAAGCAAACCTGCTAATTTCTATGAAATTTATTATATTAATGAATCTTACACATAAAAATATTACATTATATTTGTTGTCAAAAGATTTAAATGTCAAAATCCAATTTGATCTTATCGGATTATCGATTTACTTTTTTTGGTTTCTATTAATTTCCTATTTGATCAGTAATTAATCAATAAATATTCAACATTCAAATTTAAAATATTGTTTATAATTAACCTTACGTTTCGCAAAACGCCATTTTGTTGTAAAATGATTTTGTTATTGTTACTGAAAAAGGTAAATAATAGAGGTCCGAATCGGTCAAAAATTTTGTATTTTATTCGATTAATCAATCATAAAAATTTCATGGTTATTCGAATATCCAATCATTGTACAACAAACATCGAGATGGAAAATTGATTCTTTTAGCTTTGATAAAGTTCATTATTGACGAATTTTTAGCTAATTCTTTGTTTCATAAATTACAGAAAATTTTTTTTTGAAATAAAATATCGTATAGCGGCACAATTTTTTTTATCATAAAACGTGTAGATATCTTTCAAAAAAGTCTTGGATATTATCGGCTGTTCCGTAAATTTTGAAATTATCCATTATTTTTTTTTTTTTTAGTTGATTATTATTACAATATCTAGGTTTTGCGGATTTGTAGACGGTCAGAAATACGAGTCTCATGATATAATTTTTTTAAATAAAAAATATTAATAATCCCCACGAAGTTCCCATTTTAAGATCAACAAAACACTTGCCCAAGATACTCTTTTTTGGTCAAATCGATCTGCACAATTTTGACCGCGAATTTAATTTAGAGTACTCTTAATCCTAATCCTAATCCTAATCGATTAGGTAATCTATATGCAACGATTGCGAATAGATATTAGATTCGGAATGATGACACCCCACCCTCTATATATAGTTTTTTGTGGTGGCTTGTGATTTTATTTAAATGTTAACCAAAAAAGTAAAGAGTAAATGATTTGATGGGTTGGCTTGGGTGGCTTATTGCTTTTAGATTGACATTTAAATTGAAATTTTAATGTTGATCGATTGCCTTTTAGGCATAATAAATTATTCGACGCAGAAGTGAGACTCAAATTTGACCAAAGAAGTCATTTCGAAATATCAAAGATTCAACCACATTGCGAATACTAATTCTCGCCGATTCTTGTAGTTGTATGATCATCCTTACGTTACATTACACAATAACTTTATTTATTAAATCTCTAAACATTTATTTTTATTTTTAAATCACCGAACATTTAATATGTATTTCAACTCTCCTCTAAACATAAATATTATAATTAATCTCGTATTATCAGTTACACCAAATAAATCATTTTTATTTATT